AACCATCAATGGCTTCCAAACAGTTTTATCTGCCCAATTTCAATCACTAAGTCAACCTGTAGTAGGGTTTTTTTTTTTTTTGGCCCTTCCCAACAGTTGTGTATGCTGGGATCATCCCCTCCCCAGGCTGATATTACCAAAAAGTCATCTCTTTGACAAAGCAGGTATGGGAAGATTTGAACTCAGATCTCATTTTTAGAACATCAACATTTTAATCACTTGGCCATGCAGCCAGTGCAGATAAATTATTCACAAATAAAATATATTCATGTTTCATACATATATTAGGGTATTCAGAAAGTAATTTTATTAGAAAGGATGTAAAAAGCAAATGGAAGTTAAATTTATTTACATATTATTTATCAAAAATGTAATCATTTTCAACAACAGCAGCCAGGCAAAGTTTTCAACTTTAATGTTAGTCTCCTCAGATTTCCAAAAATGGATAATCCCCTGGCATTTGCCTCCCCCAACAAATGAGCTACAACTGTGCACTACCTCCCCACTGACTGAGTCAGGAGAGTAGTGAGAGGATGCAAAAGAAATAATTTGCCAACTAGGAATTTAGTGTTCTTTAAACATTTTGGGATAGCAAAACACCATATGTGATTAAGGCAGGGTTAAAGAAATCTTTTTTTTTCCCCCTCCTTGAAATAATGCTTGAAAGACTGTTTTCAGCTTCTTTGTTTCGGAATATTTTGCCATTTATGAAATGTTTTTCATGATTGAAATAAATGAAAATTTGCAGGTGAGAATGGAAAACGTGCCAGAAACTTCTCTCTTAACGATCTTATTTTTTCTTGAGTTTGTTTCAGAGTCTTTGTCCTTACATTGTCGTACTGGAGTTTGATTTAAGTCATTGTTCACCTGATCAAATTAAGCTTATGGAAATATCATCACATTGAAACAATGGTAAGCCTGGTGGTCAGTGTCTAGATAGGTGACTAGCTGGGAATACCAGGTAAGTGTAATAGATAATTGTTCAGAATTATTAATTGGAGAGCTGAGTTCTATTTTCAGTGGGGGTTTGTTATATTTGCTTACATGCAACTACCCTTGGAAAAGGTATGAATCCACCTCTTCACTCCTCAGCTATGGATTAATTAGTAAAACTTATTACTAAATCATTATTATCTACAAAAAAATTCTTACAATCTAAAAATATTTTCTGGCTCTAAACAACCTGCAAAGGGTTGATAAGTCATAAAATCAAATCAGTCTGATCAAATTGATGGCAATGTTTACAGTGAGGGTCCTTCCATGTCCCAGTAGGTCATAATGGATGACATCTTTATTTAAGAAATTCTGTGGATGGAGTCTTTTTTTTTTGGTGTTGGCATTTGTTCCTCATTTTGCAATAACCACTGTCTTTTTGTTTTCTGTTGACATGCAAAACCCATTTTTCATCAGCTGCAACAATGCAATGCAAAAATGAAAAGTTGGCAATCTGGTTGAAAAGCTGCTTCAGGTGGTAGGACATTGTGTTTGGCTTTCAAGTGAAAGATCATGAGGGACTCTGTGTCCTTTATAGTGGATTTCAGTGTTGGATAAAAGAGATGATAAAGTAATTCTAGATGCAGTTTCCTACCTGAGTTCTGCTCTGGTTGGTTTATTTATAATTCATAGCTGTGAAATATGCAATTACTTTCTGAACTCTTTATTTTTATAGCTAAAAAAAAAAAAAGTTATGCTAATACCCTTGGGAAAGGTATGAATCCTCCTCTTCTCTCCCCACCCCAGCAATGGGTAAATAGCAGGACAGACCAGGTTCTATAACCGTTGATGGCAACTGGTCTACTGCAGAAAGAAATGGCAACCTACTGTGGGGAGGGGGAAACTGCCTTGTCAGTCATGTATCAAAAGATACATGATCACCTTGGCGTGTATATAATGCATGGCACGTAACTGAACTACAACTTTGGAATATTTCTAGCTTTCTCTTTTTATTATTACTGAGTTTTAAAAACAATTCAACAACAATCAACTTGACATTTTGATTTAATTTGCTGGAATTTAACTGTGATAAATAGTTAACAACTTAATCATTAAAACCCAGTAGCTCTCTTTTTCCAAAATGTGCCATATTTGAAAACTTTTGTCAGTCTCCTGTGAAAATCTTCAAAGATAGCAAACTGTTTCATAAGAACCAGACTTAAAGAATTGTCCACCATGTTTTGATCAGCAGGCAGAATGGTAAACCTGTTTTCTTCCTGTGGGGAATTTAATAAAGATACATGGGAATGATGCCAATGACAAGAGAATTGTGGTTCTAACAAATGATAAAATGGAATCTTTTATTGAATCAGACACTTGTTGATTCAGACTCCTGTAATAATGAGACAACAACAGTCTGTACATAAAACAATTTCCTGTTTGTTCATGTTGTCCCAAAATAGTCAAGATTAAATACAGACGGGTGAAGAATTTCAAAAAGTCAGCTTATCCTGAAAGAGAAATAATGAATCAACTCACTTTACTATGTCTGGTGCCTTATAATGACTTGCCACAGAGCATGTCGTGGGAACCATTATTCCTAAGGTGTGAGATCAATTCTGACTTGGTGCTTCAAGTTTGTCTCAGACTAAGTTAAACTTAACAAATATCTGTCTAGAAAATTTTATAAACATTTGTCAATACTGTAAACATATTTAGTTTGAATTCCAATCTGATTTCAAATTTTACAAGCAAACAAATGCACTTTACTACATGGATAGAAAGGAGTGTAAGACAAGGATGTATCTTCTTACCAGACTTATTCAATCTATAAAGTGAGGTAATTCTGACAGAATTAGAAGCCCTACCAGGATTCAGTATTGGTGGCCACAATCTTAACAACATAATATATCCCGATGACACAATGTTGATAGCAGACATGGAAAGAAAACTACAAAAGTTCTTACGGAAGGTGTTGTGAGAAAAAAAAGGATTAAACATAAACTGCAAGAAGACAGAATGCAAGATTGTTAGCAAAAGGATGAGCCCAAAATGCAAATTACAAATCAGAGGTACCAAAAGCAACCAAGCACAAAAATTTAAATATCTGGGTAGTGTTCTAACAAAAAGATGCTGAGGATACCATGGACTGAACATGAGAGCAATGACAAGGTTTTTAGAGAAAATGGAAACAAAAAGAAACTTTAAGCTCAGGAAGAGAGAGTTGAAGGAGGGCTTGGAAAATCTGTTACTCACAGGACAGATTGAGGGCAAGAGGAAAATCATGTAGAAACATACTAGCTTGAGAAAATGGATGGCGGAACAGGAAATTGGGAAGAGCCATGATTGCTTAAATTCATAGGTGATATGACACAAAAAATAGTAGTTGCATTATATAAAGTAATAACACAATATGATAGACTCAATATTGACATAGGAGATCCCAAAAGTTCAGTTTTGAGCTGTACTGCTTGACCAATCACACACAGGATTTGATTATAATGGTAAAGACTTGTATAGAACCGGGTACACTTGTGTAAAGAACTAATAACAGTAAAATGGTGCAAAATCCTTGGACAGCTTTTTTCCTATTGGTGTGTTAAGAGTTTAACCTCTTTCAAATAATACATCAAAGCCTAAGGACAGTATATGTACTTAAACATGACTTTCTGTGGAAAGATGGGATTTGAATTTAGGGGTTTTTTCTTTTAGACTGGCTGACAGCCAAGGCAAGAGAGCCCAGTCTGTTCTATTTAATATATTTTCTGTTTTTACGTTATTTTTATAGATACAATTTATTTAAATAAATGCTTTATGTTTAATTAAACAATATTAATTACATTTACCAGCCTGAATGTTTGAGAAATTTTGTAGAAAATATGCATTTTCTGATAGGAATTGAACCTGTATTCCTAACCAGATGCTTCTCTGTAGCTAAATGGGACAGCACATGAAGTCAAATGATGGTTTTCGTATAAGAATACCGGTTAGATTCCTGTAATTGATACTGTTTAATTAAAAACAGAACATTTGCTTAAATAAATTGTATAACGTATAAACAGAAAATATATTAAATAATTGTGGGACTTAATCCATTATATATATATATATATATATATATATATATATATGTGTGTGTTTGTGATCAAATACTAAATTATTGAAGTATGTCCTCTCAGAATGGTTTCATGATTACAAACTTTCAATTTATTCTTGAGTCGTCAGCCACTTACTATGTTCAAACCACACAGTCCAGAGTTCCTAGTAAAGCTTTAACTAAAGTGTTAACGTTTAAAAAAAGAAAATATAAGGATAACAATTTTCTTGAGTCATTTTGTCAATGTGCCTTTCCTGAAGGTAGATGAACATAACTTTTGTTAAATGGGACAAAATAATTAGAAAAGTTTTTTTGTTGTTTTTTTTTAACAAATAAAAAGAAAATTTCAGTTCCATTGCTTTAAAATAGACTTTATTTGTTGATATAACAATTTTGTTCTTAAAGAAGGCTGTTCATTCCTTCCACTTGTATAACTGAGGCTTACGTCAAATGGAAACTTACAAGATCTGGTGTGAAATTCCTAGTGACAGTAAGTGAGATTCATGGCAAAAGCAAGAAATCCAGCAAAAAGATATTTACAAACCACTGCTGATAGGAAATTTTCTACCATTATTATCCAGGCATCCTTATTCTTGAAAAGGATCTTACAGATTTTAAGATTTGTTGAAATATTATTGCATTTTTATTAACTTTAAAAACCAAGATATGGAAATTTTAGGTGTACATTACTGTTACTTGTGAACACAGCACTTTGTTCAGTATAAGAGAATCTTTTAATTAACAAGGAGATGTGGGGTGAAACTGATATATATTATATAATCTTTTTCTGAGATCAGAGAAAGGATATTTCTTGAGAGTTCATCATGTTTTATGTCTAAGAGAATTCCTTCTCTCTACCAATTTGGTAAGAGAGGGTGTGGCAAAATGTCTTCTGAGTTTTAAAAGACAAGAAAGTAAATTATCCAACAGGGTTTGTCCATCATGTGAAATCATGGTCATTCCAATTCTCTCAGCTCTCTAGCACACTGTCCAACCAATCTTCAAGAGATGCTGTTGCAGAACTCACATATTCTGGAAAAAAAGAGAGAGAAAAAATAAATTTTTAATTTTCAGTGTCTCTCTTGTTTGCATGCATGTGTAGTTGCAGCAATAAAAAACAAACTTATTAGTAAAAGTATTGATAGTGCATAAGTATATATTTCCAGGTAAAATGAGAACAAATAGAATATAATTTCATTGTATGTAACATTTAATTTAAAAGAGGAATCAATACAGAGTAGAGCTAAATTTTATTTTAGGATATTAGAACATGTTGAAAATCACTACATAATGGCAATTATGTTTCAATACCATAAATGTGTCTCCTTGTGTGTTAATTTTAAAAGCAAAATACTTAAAAAAAAATAAAAATAATAGTTTTCTGGGCTTTGCCATGATTAACTAATTGAATGTGACCTACACTAAACTCAAATGCACCAACATTTTTTTTTTTAATATAGGTCATGACACAAAATTGTCTGCATATAAAACCTAGACAATTTTTCTAAGTAAAAACAAAAGAGGTGGGGAGGTAATTTAACATAATATTAACTAGTTATATGCTAGTTCAGCTTTTTGCATAAAATTGTAGTTGAAAAATAAAAGCCCCTTTAAGAAACTGGTAAGCAACGTAACAGTTTGAAAAAGAAAAAATACAAGACTGTTAAATTAATATGCATCTATTAAATAAAGAGCATCCATATAAGATGTTAATACTAACCAAACATCAATACAAAGCAATATTAAATCAAAATGAACCTTACAAATAAAATAGCAAGCCATATAAGGTGCACAACAGTTCATCTTTTGATTATTACTATAAGAAAAAGTATTATTAAATTCAAAGTTTAAACACATTGCAAGGTTTAAGCATTTTACCCCAAGCAGGGTGGGAGCGCCACTAGCACACAAAGGGTTAAAGAGAGTGAGAGCAAGAGTAAAGAGGTGGGGGGTGTTTGAAGAAAGGATATAGAGAAGGACGGGGATCAGGATCATGGCATCAGAAGATGTCAGTTGACATTATATTTGAATATTTTAAGATTATAGTTATCAGACAAATTTTCTAAAAAATTGATCTCCTCAATGTAAACCTAGACTTAGTCGATAATACATACCAACCCTACATGAAAACTAATGCAAATCCATTATATATCCACCCAAATTCAAATCACCCTTCATCCATACTCAAACACATACCCTCTTCCATAGAATATAAAATCAGTGATAACTCTTCTAGTGAAGATGTATTTCATAAACATAGCAAATTTTATAACACTGCCTTAAGAAATAGTGCCTATAAGAACCCTGACATTAAATATAGGATATACAACAGTGTTAGTGTGAAAAAAAAAAAATAGAAACAGAAAAATCATTTGGTACACACCCCCCCATTTAACCAAATGTTTAGTACTAAGTTAGAACAGAAGTTTCTCAATTTAATTGATAAACACTTAATCTACATACCAAGATTTTTAATAAAAATTAAACTAAGCTATAGCTGCACATATAACCTCGAAAAAAAATAATAATAAAATTTTAGATCAACACTTATACCTATCCCAAAACAATAATGATACCAACTTCTGTAATTGTAGAAATTCTAATGACTATCCACAACAAAATAGGTAAACAAATGAATCAGTTAGATATCTAAGTACTATTTCATCTAGAGAAAATCCAACAGATAAAAAATTTTATATAGGTAATACAAAAAATTTCTTTAAAACTCAGTGGTATCAACACATCATCTTTCAACAACAAAGCATATCATAACAGAACTCTTAAAAAAAAAAAAAAACTCCTGTGGTAAAATAGAAAATATTCAAAATAACTAGAACTTGTAAATCCTTATATGACCCATGTTTTCTATGTTTACAAGAAAAATTGCATATTATTAAGTTTCCTAAAAATAAAAAACTGTTAAACCAAAGAAATGAATTAATTGTGCTCTGTTGCCATTGTCTGCTTTTCACCTTAAAATATAATTAAAAAAATTTTTTTTCATAATTATGTATTATAATTGTATTGCCATTATTTTATTAGTATATAATGGCCCACCCAACATTTATTTGATTTAGTCAACTATAATATTGCTACGTTTTACTGTCTATTCAGTATAATTAACAACTTATAGAGTTGTTTCCACATTTTTAATCTTACCTATAGGCCCCTTTAAGAAGATTCCTGAGTATATTAAAAAGATTTTTTTTTTAAATCCATTTCTAATAAATTTATGTCTACTTCAACAAATGGCCAAATCATATTTGGATACACCAATAATACATATATCACTGAAACTGTTCCATTGAATGACATGTAATAATAACCCACCCACCTCCATCCTGACATTATTTTTATATGTTGACATGACATGACGTTCATTGGTTAATCTAGATATAACCATAAGTATGTTTTTAATTCTGACTATATACCCCGCTTTAATTTACAAAAAAGGTAAAGATTATTTTTATCACAAGTTATCTACCATCGCCTGAAGAAGTACCATTTTAGTACTGAAACATGAAAGTTTTTGTGTAGCGATGTAAAATGTTTTTATTGTAATTTATTATAATAAAAATATTTTATATATATATATATATATATATATATATATATATAACAGTCTAATAATAAAGCCACTACATATATATTGGTTTTACTACAACCATGCTCTCCCGTAAACTTACCTGTCACCTTTCTGATCTTAGTTCTATTATACAACATTTCTTAGAAAAACATAGCCATGTACATTATATTAGACAGATATTAGTTGATAACACAATAATACTCACACATACACACAATAAAAAGAACCTTCAGGTACTGGACACCATCTACATTAGAACAAAGCAACCCACACTCAACAAGATTACATTTCAAACTAGTCACAACACATTATATTGCATCTAAACTTATGGTTCTGTTGTTAATATTTCGGTCTCTCACGTTGTACAATATCATAGAACCGCATAATGAATTTACGACCTACGTCTGCTATTCTGCACCCATTATCGTTGCATAGCAATCTTCTATGTCAACAAGACAGAATATCATCTTTGATTAAATTTCTACATAACCACTCTGAAAATGACTCATATGAGATCAAGGAACAGCATAATAAAAATATCCAAATGTTGGACAGTTTTTGTCTTTATTTTCTTCTGAAATTAAAGCCAGTATACAAACCTTAGAACGGCTCATGATGAAACATAATAGACATTTGTTGTCTGTTATAGTTAACAATATATGTTTAATATACACTAAATTATATATATATATATATATATATATATATAATACCTTACATTAATTGCAGTTATGAGTTTCATGCCAAAGTAATTCACAAAAAACCAGTGTCAACCAAAAATAATAATTACAGCACTTGAAAATTGCTTCAGCATGAAATTTAGAGTTGTGCAACTAATGCAAGGTATTGTGTGTATTTTTTATATATATATATATATATATATATAAAGAACAAGTACAGCATACCTTTCTGAAAGATATGAATAATTTTATCAAAATATGCATATATTTTCTATTTCAATTCATTTAGTTTGTATCAACAGAGGTTGAAATTAAGTAAAAAAAATGTCTGAATGTTATTTGAAGGTTAAAGTTGAATAAAATCAAGTACTCAGTTTGAGTTCCAGTCAAGTTCATTATAGTCATTTTTGTACATATACTGTTGTGAAAAGTATAAATCCAGCTTTCTATAGAATAGCAGGACAGACTGGAAACCAGTCTTTCACAGAAAGAAACTGTAGGAAATATTCTGCCTAGTCAGTAATGAATCAAAAAATACATGATTGCCCAAGTGTATATCTGACTCATTACTATGTCATGTTTATGAAGAGCCAGGAGAAAGAAAATATGAACAAATTTATCATCCCTTCTTCCCCAAATGACACAGATTGTTTCCCCCCTCTACACTCCTGTCATGCATTTTCTATGATGAAATCATGGCAAGAATCAAAGCCAATTTAAAGTCATTTTTTTTTTTTTTGCATCTCTTATTCTTGTCTGTATTTTTGTTTTCTTTAATAGACTTACGAAGAGCTGAGAGAGAGAGAGAGAATGATCTGACCAACTTGTTTAAAAATGTTACTTTCTCAAGGGAAGTGTGGCTGACACTGTTTAACATACAAGCCTGAACTTTTGTTACTTCTCGTAGAAGAAACTAGAAAATAAAATCTCTCAAACTTACTTTTCTCTCCAGAGGATGAAATCTCAGCCAGCCGATCAATGTTACCAGACCCACCAACATCTGGAGTTAAAAAAAAAAAAAAAAGATTTTGAAATTTAATTTTACTTTTTATTTTACATCAACATAAGCAAGGATTTCCCTTTTCTTCTCTAAAGCAACTTTTCAAGTGGCTTTCATTGAAAACTGGGAAAAATAATTTCTCCAATCAACTTTTCCAAACAAAACCATGAATGTGAAAAAAAAAAAACTTCAATCTAGTGTCACATGTTACCAATACCAATGTTATATATTATCATTTTTTAGGTAAATGGAGGGACAGGATCAAGGCAACATTTGGTATTCATTGGTCAAACAAACAATACTGTTTTCAGTTGATCTTTCTCTTAAAACAATTTTGTTTGTTTGTTTGTTAATCATTTCACTCCAAGCAAGACAGGAATGCCACCAGTATGCTTTATCAAGTCTAGTAGCTGTTATAGATCTTTCCAGCATTGATAGGGGGTTTCCTTCTTAACCTTTTTATTTGAAGTAGTGTGACATCTTGATTATATTATTATCTTCTCTTTGAGTTAATGCGTTATCAGTTTTAGTGTGATACTATTTGTCATTGCCACGGTAAAACAGAAGAAAGTTTTGTTAAAACATAAGAAAGTGTTATGTTCTGAGAGACATTGAAATGAGAAGAGTTAATACCAAAAACCCATAGGAAGAAATGAGGATTTAATTCACACATAAACTACTTGAATTGTATGTCGAGCAGTTTGAACAATGGAAAAGTGACCCAGACTTAGGGTGCAATGTACCAGGAAATACCAGGAGTGGGTGGATAAGCCACCCACACTCACTGAGGAGATGTAGTGAGAGATAATAAAAGACAGGGAATTCCCCAAAGGATTCACTGAAGTGCTCCTACCTTGCCATACCCCAACCCATGCCAGTTTGGGCAAATGTCCTTAAATACAAATGCACGAGTTGCAGAAGAGACCAGAGGCAAGAGAGAGACCCACGTGATTATCTGCCAATGAAAGCCTCCAACTTCGGCCTTGTGCCAAACTTACCAACAACAGCAAACCAGATTTTGACAGGACAGTCATATCACTTTCAATTCAGATGCGTTTTGGGCTGATAATTAATTGCATGTGAACTCCAATATAAGCAATTATTGTACAAAGGACTGATATAAAAAAAAAAAAAACAATTTATTTGAGTGTTGTTTTTTTTTTTTTTCCATCTTCCCTTGCTCGGACTCATCCACAATGGAGATTGGGTCTTGGCCTCCTTATGATCAAGCTTAAATCACAACCTGGGATAGGACAGGTCCGAGATCGAAGCAATCTTCAATCAGCCGCTGTATTGGAAGTCTTCAACAACCGGGATGGGGGATGGTGTACGTTTACATTAGTTGTTGCTGCTCAAGTGATGTGGTTTCTGTTATTTGATATACTGTATTTGACGGCATATAAGGCACACATTTTTTTTTTACTAAAAATATCTTTTAAAATTCCACTGTCTTATATGCCATATGTAGGTTTACTAATTTTTTTTCTTGATTTGCCCTGCGACTTCAAGATAAACTCAAATTTTAATTAAGTGCCCTGAACTTTTTTTTTTTTTTTTTTGTATCTGTGAGGAAAATGGTGAGATTTAACCATGTCCATTCACTGGTGCAGTCTTGTACTGATTCCTTTTACAATATCCTATGTCTGTTATATATTTAAGCTGGGTAGAGAGTGAAATTAATTAAAAAATCTTTTCCCTTATGGAAATCCTGTATTAGGTTGAAATAAAACCCAAGAACAGTGTTCATTTGCACAAATGCACCTCTGGCTATACAACTGTAATTGGTACCTTAAAAACTAGCAAAAAAAATGTATCTAAAGTGCCTGGAGGAACAATTCCAACATGACCCTGAAGAAATCTTCAAGTTCTGCAATGAACCAATATTTAAAAAGATCTCCATACTAAGATAAATTCATTTTTTTTTTTTTATTTATTTTTTTTTTTATTTTTTGTTTAGTAGTATATCAATGCCTTATGGGTCATTTAATGCTGAAATTCAATTTAATTTCTTGGGAGAATTAGTAATTTCTTTTACAAAAATTTATTGCTGGTTGGTAATATTTTTTTTTTAAATGAATTGCTGGTGTTTTTTTTTGTTTGTTTTGTTTTTTTTTTATTATGAAAATGTATTTTATACTTCCATAGTATTTTGAGGGTTAACTATTTTCCTATAGCTGGGACCCTAACAGGTGCTACCACCCCAGGTCAGAGTGAATCTGGGAACAACAGTAATTAAGAGGTGGTTCCATGCTCCTCAAAACCTTCTGATCAAAGCCCTTGCTGCCAGATTTTGTTTATTGTAATAGTCAGGACAACTTTTTTTTTTTTAACAAAATTACCAAATCCAATAAGTAAGATTTCTTTAAATTCCAGTCAAAATCTTGCAACTAAAGTAATTCAAGGTGTCAAATTAAGACGTATAAAGAAGCCATAGTTCTACATAAATAGGTGCAGATCTACATCCAGATGGTTCAGACTTGAAGAAACTTTATAATTGTTATTTTTTTTGGAGGTCTTTTTTTTTTTTACGAAAGGTGGTTACAGTCACAAGGGAGGAAACTCTGTCAAAACAATGTGGATAATTCTTCTCTCACCAAGTGAGTGTTTTATAAATATACCATAAAAAAAAATGATGGGGGAAATCCAAGTTCAGTTTTGGCAATCATATTTAAAGAAAATCTTAAAATATCAATTGTAAATATTTTGTGTTATTTGGTTCTTCATGGTATGTCAGAGGGCAAATCAGAGTTACTAGGCAATACTCATTATCTCTCCAAATGCTAATGAAAAATCTCTAATTTATCAAGTATTGTGACATGCAAGTATAAGGACCCTTAACCAGAACACAAGGGAGGGATAGATTTATATTTTCCTCAAAGGCAAAGATGAAGTAAAGTGAACACCTGAAAATGCTAAACAAGATAAAAAATCTTTCTCCATATTTTTCATAATATTGAAAATCAACACTGTACAATATATGTTACATACCTGCTTGAGGTTTCGTCTTCCCTAATGATAACAATGTATGAAGTTCATCTTCCTCTGAGATGGGATCAGATTTGACCTGTGGTGTAATACAAGGGGACTTTTTCATGTTGGCCGATTTACTCCTTGGTTCTTGTGCAACATCGGTCAGCTTAGAGTCTTCTTTGTCAGGAACCCCAGTTTTTTCTTTTCCTTCTTCTACTGGCACTATTTCAGTACCATTTTCTACATGCGTTGGCTCAGCTTTGACTGTCTTCAGAAGAGCTGGTGCCAAGTGCATGGCAGCAGAAAGTACAGAATGTATGGCTTTCACATCTAATGCTGTTTGTTGTTCTTGAACAATGGTACTGCAACTGTCAGGATTGTATAACATCCTGCTTTTCTCAGCTTCAGCAGCAAAATCTTCTAACTGTTCATCCTGAAAGAATATATGGTTATTAATTTCACATCAACATCTATGTAAGACATTTGGTACCAAGAACATTTCTTTTTGAAATGATACAGTTTCTTTTGTGTGATTGGTTGGATCACTGAAATATAAGAATCTTAAGTTGCAAGAACTGATGCTCCATGTTTCATTTGTCAAAGTTAACATTAACTAAACACAAAATTCTTCAAATGGAAGCAAAATAAAGAACATTTGTAAATATTTGTAGCACTCAGCTAAAACTGACACAGTATGAAATTAATTTACTTGTAATGGCCTGAGACAAGCACCACACAACAGATGATACTCCAGTTGATCTAATTATAAAAAAATCTGACAACTTGATCTATTTTTTAAACCAAGTTGAAACTAAAAATTCTTTTAAATTGAATATAAAAGTTTTTAAGGTGCCAGATTTCTACTAAGAAACAAGTTTTTCATTCTTACTAAAAAATATTTCTTTCTGGAATTTAAAAACTCTCCAATGGCATACCCATAATAATCTGACTTGAGAGAGAGAAAAAAACTTGGTAAAATGCAGTAATAAAACAAAAGTCCTTTTTTTTTTTTTTTTGAAACAACAATGAAATATTCCCACAATAGAATAGACATTTTTATTTTGTGCCATTATTAAAAGTAACAGACATTCAGAAAGAGACCTAATGGTAAAATTTTGGTAATACTTTATAAATTGGCTCCTTTTTGTTATTTTAGACAATTTTCCTAAAATTAAAAATCCATTAAGCGTATTTCTATAATGGCAGCTTCTTTTGGTTATTTGTTTTTTTCAAAACTATAACTGCAATTCTAGAAATCAATTCCTGACCAAAATGAAGGTGTTTTTAATTTGTCATATTTCTGAAGCACCCACTTTTTCTTTTTTTTTTTTTTTTTTTTAAAGAGAGAAGAAAAAAAACAAGAGTTCTGAGGATAACCAGCTATTGTTCTAAAACTGAAATTTAGTCCAACTTGGTGATATTCATGGTGAAGTATTTTGTAACCTTATTATATTGGCCAGAGATTTCCAGAGACAGCATTTGAAAGTGGCAATGACCCACCATATGGCATTGATGGCATTAAAAGTGACTCCACACAACATTGTGGGGAGGTTGATTTTTGTTTAGCGACATATCAACTTCTGTGATATTTAATACCAAAATCTAAATATTTTGAACACAATTTTATGGTTTCCACTTATATATTTTGAATGCAATTGTATTCCTTCAACAACAATTAAACATATTTTTGGTAATTTTGCTATAAATATATATTGTTGGTAATTCTACTATAGAATTGTATTGTTGGTCATTTTCCTATAAATATGTACTGCTAGTAATGTTTTTTTACTATTTAAATTTATTTTTATATTTTCATAGTGTTTTGTTTTTGTTTGGTGAGGATTCCCTATTTGCTCATCGCTGGGACCTTAACAGGTGCTAATACACCAGATCAGGGTGGACTTGGATAGAACAGCAATTAAGTTCCACGCTCCTCAAAACCACCAGTCTCCTAATCAGAGGCCATGCTGCCAGATACCCAGGATTCCACCTACCATTGTTCAAATGTTTGATGTGAAACTAATCTTACTTTTCTTGGGCATCTTCATTTTATACACACACACAGTTGCTTTCAACTATAAAATATTTGCCCAGATTTGTTAAGATATTTACAATCTTGACCCAATAATCAAATATTTTTTGTCAATTGCTCATGATCATTTCTAATAGGCAGGAGATTTCAAATTAAAGCCTGAATTTCTATTTTTAAGTAACAATGATTTTTTTTCAGAGATGTCCAATCATGTTATTCTCTTTTTATGCCTGTCACCCAATCAATCAACTCTATTCAACCATTTTTCAGTGGAATCTGTTGCCTCTAACCTGTCAACTACTTTACAAACAACTTGCTGTACATTAGTTAACTGTAAAATCATTTAGATAGAAGACCAAGAAAGAATGATCCTGATAAACATGTCAGACCTTTGATTACTAATAACAGGATTAATAAAAATGCATTTCATTTATGTTAAACAAATAGATTTCTGTTGGTCCCAAGTAGTGGTCAGTACTTACACTAAAGAGAGTAGCGTCCAATCCAAGCCTTTCATTTAAGGGCAGGCACTGAAGGCTGTTGGCTAGAGCCTCACAGTCAAGAGCCACAAAACTGGAAGAAAGTAAAGTTTTGTCTTCTTCCCATTCTTTTTCATCTTTGAAACGAAACTGAGACAAGGCATCAGCTGAAAATAAAAAGTTAAAAACAAAAATAAACAATTACTTTCAAGTGGGGAAGGGTTTGTTTGGTTTTGTTTTACGGCATATCAACCTCAATGGGTCATTTAATGCTGACAACTTTTCTTTTTTTTTTTCCTGATAATATTTTTGTTTTGTCAAAAATCTATTTCTGTTAATATTTTTTTCCTCAAAAATGTATAGCTGGTAATAGTTTTTCATCAGAAACATATTGCTGGTAATATTTTTTTTTCTTTTTTTTTTTCTTCAAAAATCTATTTCTGGTAATTTTTTTTTTTTTTCAAAAATCTATTTCTGGTAATTTTTTTTTTTTTTCTTCAAAAATCTATTTCTGGTAATTTTTTTTTTTTTCTTCTTCAAAAATCTATTTCTGGTAATAATTTTTTTATTTTTATTTTTTTTTTACAAAGAATTTCTGGTATTAAAACCTATTTTTACACTTTTACAATGTTTTTACCTCAGTTTCGGGACCCTAACAGGTCCTATCACCCCGGGTCAGGGTGGATTTGGGAACACCAGCAATTAAGAGGTGATTCCACGCTCCTCAAAATCTCCTGATCAGAGGCTTTGCTGTTGGACGTAGTTTATCATCATACCCAGGACGAAAATTAAAATATAGGGTGGTGGTGAAAAAAAAGAAAACTTTGAAATAATATATCCCTATATTAAACGTAAAGGGGGTTGTGAAAAGTTCTTAACCCAATCCACTTCTCAAAAATCAATTTTCTGATGTTTAGTCATTGAAATACTAATTCTGGTAAGTGAATCTTGCTGTCAAAACCAATGAAAGAGGCTTTTCCAGAAGCAAATGATGAGTAATTCCAAAGTACATCAACCAGGATTTAAGGCTAGGAAGGTTCATTTTAATCTGATGCTTCATAGCAATATCGCAGGTCATAGAATCAAGTCAGATTTAGTGTACAGAGCCAACCCTCTCTGTGCCCTTAAGAAAAATAGCAGAAATATACTGCCAGAGATTCTGACAACAAAACAAGAAGGCTTGATGATGGCAGTCATGGCATTTTTGTTACTCAATAGGTTCGACCATTCTTTTATACCTGAAGTGAAGAAATACTTAAAGAAGAAGGAGGCTTCTTATCGACAACATTCCAGGCCTGATGTATAAGGATGAACACCTCAAAGTGTTGTTCCTACCCCTAAACATGTTATTGGTGCAACCAGTCAAACTAGACATCTTGAAGTACAGATGGTTTACTTCTGCCAGAATTCATGCAGCACTTGGTGCAAAACCCAAATTACAGCATCATGCACTTATGAAACAGTTTCACACTACCTGAAGATGTAATTGATCTTATATCTGCATCTGTTGATGCCCAAAGCCCAAGGCAGTCAATGAATTCAATGCGTTTCTTTTTCCTTTTATTTTTTTTTCAAAAAACCAAAACATGTGCAAATGTGAAATCTCATTTTACTCGTGAAACTCCAAAACATCAACTTTTATGCAATGGTCTTGAATATATGTGGTTTGTAAACGACATGAGGAAATCATGAACCAATTGTCTGCATAAAATATGAACACACTGTATACACATATAAAAATAATTGCTGAAAAGTTCTCAGTCAAAATCTCTTTCCAAAATTTGACCAAACATTAGAATTCTTTTTTTCTGGAAGGGCTTGTTGGCTGAGCTGAGAACTTTTCAGCACTCCTTATATTTATATATATATATATATATATATATATATACACACACACACAAGCTATGTCAAAAATACTTATACAAACTTTAGGGGCAGGTTCCTCACACCAAAACAAGGGTAAAAATCCATATAATCATATGTCCACAAATCTTTTGTTTGTGTGTGCATGTATATTTCATTTTACAAGATTTACTTGTAAAGATTTTCAAACCAATCAAAGTAATAAGATAAAATAAAATAAAACCAGGCCTAAAGCAAATTTTAAAACAAGGCAGAGGAAAAGAAGGGAAGAAAAAAAGGAAAAATTAAAAGAAATAGTGAAAAGACAAATGAAGGAGAAAAAAGAAAATAAAGAAAGAATAGTAACGTCTAGATATGGGGATAGTGGCAGGAGACATACATATAGACGTGACCTTGACTTAGAATATTCACCTCAGTTTCTATCAGAAAAATAGACAGGAAATTAGGGAAGATTTTTTTATCTTACATTAACAATTCACTATTACTTCGATATTAAGAGATATAATTATATATTTATAAAGAAAATATATAAAATTATTTCAAAACTATTTATATATTAAAAAACATATTGTTCTAATTGTTTACTTTTTAGGAAATGTATTAATATTCTTCATTTTATATTAAAAAGAACATTTTAATAAAACTATTACCATCTATAAGGAAATAAAAAATCAGAGAAGATTCATTAGAATTCTTGCATTTATATTGGTTAATATTATTAGTATTTATCTTAGAATGTGTATATCTATGCAAATTTTTAAATTGGTTTAAAATTTTATTGTTTCTTTATAATCATCTCAAGATTATCGGTGCAACTATAACTTAGTTTTAGTGTGTTTCTGTTAAATATTTTACTCAGAGGGTTAAATTTGGGATCAATTCGTTTATCAATTCTTTTTGAAAGATGTGTACCAAATAAAATTTTAGAAGATTAATTTAAATATTTTATATACTTGAAAAAATATTTCTTTTTTATAAAGAGTTTATTATAAATTTTATAAACCATTGTCATATTCCCAATCAATATTATTTCATGTTTGTATATTTAAATATTAAATATGATCTTTTTAATAAATTTTTTTTGAAAAAATTTATAAATTTAAAAAACTTTTAAAGTGTATTATCAAACATAAAACTGAACATTGACAAAAATTATGAGATCCTATGTCCCTTAAGGGTATTTTTTCATATTGGTTTAAATATTATTAACATAATATATCATATTTTTTGAAAAAAGTGTCTATAAAAATTGATCTAGATTTTTATATGGACAAAAATATCATAAATTATCTAACAATTTTTAAAGAATTCTTTTTTGAAATTAAAAATTGTTCAAATTTTTTAAGTTTTTGGTAATTTTTATTTGTAATTTGAAGTCATTAAGTATAATTTTTTAATTTTTTAACAGTTTGGTTTTAATATCCTGGTAAAATAATGATTTTTATTATAAATATATATATATATAAATATATATAATGTAATGATTTGTATTTCTTTTCTGATGTACATATAAATTTAAATGATTATTGCAGAAATTTTTACAACTATTTGAATGATATAAAAAAAATAAACCATCTTTTGATTATTTATAAATGATAATTGATTATTTATTCTCAAATTTAGTTTTTATTTTTGAAATTAAATTTTTTTTTAAATTTTTTTTGAATTTAAGGAGAAACAATCAAATAATGTTGAAATCAAATTAAAATTGATTCTAAAATTGATTTATTAATCCATATTTTATATTTTTATCCTGAAATAAATAATTTTATATATATATATATATATATATATATATATCTAATATAAAAAATATGAATAAATATAAAAAGGAACAATTACTATTCTTAAAAAAAATTCACCTAAGTCATATTTTATTTTTAAAAAAAAATAACATAAGTAAATTTTCAAATCACTAAAAAAATATTTTTTGATTCAAAATTTTATATCTTAATTATATATATAATAATAAATATATTATTATATATTTAAAATTTCAGATTAATGTTGATTTTTCCTATTTTATATTTAATACATTTTTTTTAAAGTTTTTTCAAATAAGAATTTTTTATTTATCTATTTATATATATTATATATAAATATATATACCTGCCTATTGATTGGTTTTTAAATTTATAAAATAAATAAATTAATATATAAATATAATCCCATATATATATATATTATATTTTTCTTAAATATATATATATATATATATATATATATATATATATATATATATAAAGTATATAATTGGTATATACGGAATGAATTCCAATAACCAACAATTACTATTCTTAAAAGAGTGCTCAATACAAATAGAGCAGATATAATTATTTTTTATAAAAAAATTTATAACATAAGTATGTTATAAAATCACTACAAAAATAGCCATTTTGTTTCAACACACTCTGTGTCTTATCAAGTGATGATGTTGAAAATAAAATAAATGGTTTTAAAAGTTTCAGATTAATTAACGATCCTACACTAGGGGGAAAAACATTGTTACAAAAGCTAGAATAACCAATCAAAAACGAAGTATAGAAAGATTCAAAAGCTTGACAACGAAATCCTGCTATAATAGCTATTCAGATCTTTAAAATACGTGTAAATATTAAAAAATAATTTTTACTAACTAATAATTATAAATTTATATGATAAAATTTAATATTAAAATTAAAAACTGGCAATTTTAAAATCCAAATTTAATCACTATTAAGTTTAAAAACTACAAAATTATTGAGAAAAGAAAAAATATATATGTTTATTCAATTCATTTCTTCATTGAAATTACGTTCGACAAGACAAAAAGCTACAATATATCCGGTCATTTGATAATACATGTATATATTTTTTTTTTTTTTTTATTTTAAAGTTTGTGAATATGGTCTTAAACTCACGCGTGAAACAACAAAAACACAATCAGATTATAATACATAAGCATCCAGACATAATTAGATACATACACACACACACACACACACACACACACACACACAACACAAAAAAAAAAAAAAAAAAAAAAAAAAAAAAAAAAAAAACATGAACAACTCCACAGCCCTTTATGAAAAAAAAAAGAGACGTGGAAACCAACACTTATACACACACACAGTTAAATGTGAATACACTCTACATACACATAGACACCGATATATACACAAACATACATCCACAATGGACATAGACATTGAGAAATCACAACCAATAAATATTTCAGACTTAAATAAATGCTAACCACTTTATTGAATTATAACTTAAGGGAGCAAATATACAAAGATAAAAATGTTTAAAATAATATTATTTA